TCCTGCTCCTGCTGACAACCTTACCTCATTCAGTCCAAAGTACAAAATGTAATTATTTTAGGAGAAATTTTCCACCATGCCGGAATTATACTGTAGACTTTCAACTTTATTATTCTATCAAAGATGCTACTTTTAACAATCTCAGAACAGTCTCAGAATTCTGTTAAAAATAAGTTATTTAAAGGATATTGAGGAAAACTGTATCCCGATGTCATATCTAAGTAAGCATAATCTTATTCTCTAATAACGAAGAATTTTATTTTCCAAATACAGAATATCTCTAGACACCCTAACATCAAGCTCTTGAAAGGGCGAGGGACACAGCCTCTTCCAAGCTATCTGGATGAAGTGAGTACACCTGAGACAGGTAACGGCAGCTCACTGATGACTTAGAAATCAAATCTTCAATAATGATGACACTAATATCAATAATAAAGGTATGTCCTAGATTCTAGGACCTGGAAAAAAATGTTCTCTAGGGAATTTGGAGAAAATGAGTCTTATACTGCCCAGAGAATCATCAGTTCAACATATTACATACAATCCTAGCACAATATTCAATAAATTCTTGTTAAATAATCGGAAGTCTCCTTTTAATGTTACTTTAATGTAAGTGACCAAAGAGAAAATAGATATCCAGAACTTTTTACAAGAAAGAAAATTCCAAGGCCAATTCAGGGGCAATTTTCATTCAACACTGATTTATACCACCTGTGTCTACAATTGTATCTCTCAGGTCAATTTAATTAATATTCATCAGTCTTCAAAAAAAAAGGCTCATCTCTATTCAATATATTCAGCTGAAGAATACAGAGGGACCCCCATCAGCTATTAAAAAAAAAAAACAGAGGGAAAAATAGATACCAAGAGGCAAAGGAAAAGTTTTTAAAACTTTAACAAAATAAAATGGGCTATTATCCAGCACTTCATTCCTTCTAGTGTTCTAAAAAACTGGAGTTTTCCTGAATTGTTATTCAATGCTTGTCAGCAAGTTTAAACTTAGACTCCCCAAGTAAATTAGTAAGTCTCTTAAAGGTAAGTAGCATGATGCTCTCCTTGGCATTCCCTGTAGGCATAATACCCAGGTGTTTTGCACATAAAAGATGCTGAGTATTTGTGGATTATGATAAAGCAATTATTTTTCCTTCTGGTACCTAACTCAATATCTCTTTGAATGACATATTAAATATGTCTTAAGTGATATTATTTTTATTTCCAAATAAAGTTCAGAGTCTTAGGATCAGGTGCTACAAGCTAGTTCTAGTTCTGACTGACTTATAGGCAAGTTACCTACTCTCTTAGCATATGCAGCCAAAACATGTCTACGGCATTTAGGGTTTTAAAAAAAATCACAATAATAAAAGTAATAATACTCTGTTTTGTATTGCATTGCCCTTTTTTTATTACAATCACGTTATTCTCTTGGATCTCACAATATTTTTTTTAACCTTACATCATATGACCCTTTGGCAAGAGTGACTGACAAACCTGATTTTGTCATCCTCATTCTGTAACGGTTCTAAAGCTGGTAAAAGCTTAAGTGCAGCAAAGTCATTGAGCAAGTTAGAGAAGACACAGGAAAACTGTTAGTGTCCCGCTAAACATCACTCCCGGGAGAACAGATAGTCCGTAACGATGCTAATCTTTAAGGGATGATGAAAAAAACAAAACAACACACACACTTCATTGCTAGCCATTTACCAAACTCGCTTGCTATTAGTTTCTGTTGGAAAGAGAAGGCCTCTGGTCGCTCTCCCGCATCCTCCCCTTCCCCGCGACTTTACCTGCTTGTACCTGGCGTACAGGTACAGGAGCTGCTCCCTGCTGGCCACGTGAACCACGCTCTGCAGGTGCGCGGCCGCCTCCTCAAACAGCTCGGCCAGGCTCCGCGACGCCCCGCTCTCGGGGCTCGGGACGGACTCCACATCACCGGAGTCGTCCCCCGAGCTCAGCTCTCCGCCGCTGTCGCCCGTGGTGGTCCCCGCGGACAAGAATGGAGAGGCCATGTGTCCGCTCGGTCCTCTCTCGGTCGGGAGTCACGCCCGGCTCGGGGGGCCTGGCCGCCCAGTCCGCGTCCGGAGCCCGCGCTGGCGTCGGACCCCAGCTCACTTCCTCCGCGCTCCCGCCCCTCACTCTGCCTCC